TCATATCCTTTATGTTTTGTGACATTGATTATTCTCCCTACAATGTCGCAGCACTTTCCCCACTTCCTCCCTCCATTTCTCATTTCTACTCATCCTTCTTTGCTGTCCCCTCCTCCCTTCTCCGTTTTATCTCTGGCAAAGTGCTGCTATTTTGATCTTGTTCTAAGGAGTTCTTTCCTCCTTGCTGTGATTGATCATCTTACGTTGTTGTTTTTCTTGTGTGCTTTCAAGTCAGTACTGACCCATAGCTGACCCTCCAGTGGTTTGTTGTTTTGTTTTGTTTTTTAATTTTTTAAATTATTTTGTGTGTACCGTCAAATCAGATCTGACTGGTACAGGAGGAGATTTCCCCTCCTTTTCCAGCAGAGCATCTGGTGGATTCAAACCAATTACCTCTGGGATTGCAGTGCACCTTCTTGCCCTCCAGTGGTTTTTAAAGGCACTCCATTGCATGATAGGAGATTGCCCCTCCTTCTCCCACAGAATGGCTAGTGGATTAGAACTGTGTACCTTTGGGATTACAGCCCAATTTCTTACCACTAGGACCCCAGAGCTCACTTGGATCCCCTTATGGACCTGTCTGTTGTACGACTGCAAGTTTGATCTTGGGAATGATTTCAGTTTCAGACTTGAAGAGTGATTGAAGTCTTGTGAGTCAAAGAATGATTTTCATTTTATAAAATCCATCTATTATATAAGTATACAATCCATTGAGTTCTAGTAGACAGATAGAGTTGTTCAGCTGTCACCACAAAAAAGTTTTAGGATGTTCTCATCACTCCACAGTACTGGGGGTGATATTTTGTTGATCTTCACTGAGATAATTTCTGTCTTTCTTGACTTGCCTTTTCTGGACATTTTGTACAAATGGAATCGTATACTTTGGTTATATCTAGCCACTTTGTAGATTTTTTACCAACTTTTTTTACTGCTGGACAGTATTTGATCACGTAGATTGTTCTCTCATTTATCCACTCATTGTTTGAAGGGCGTTTAGATTTCTGAGTCTTTTATGAATAATAATCCCATGAGCATCTCTGTGTGTGTGCTTTTGTGTAGATTTTACAGCTTTCATTTCCCTTGGGTAGGTGCTTAGGAGAGTAATTGTTGAGTGTATTAGTTTCCTATTGCTGCGGTGACAAGTGATGGCACCCTTCATGTTTTAACACAATACAGATGGATCATCTTAGAGTTTTGAGGCCTAAGGTATCACATGGGTCAGCAGGGTAGTATTTCTATTCCAATCCGTTCCCTTGCCTTTTCCAGCTTCCAAAAGCCACCTGCATTCCTTGGCTCATTGTTTCTTCCTCCATCTTCAAAGCCAGTAGTGTAGCATCACCTATTTGCCTGGAACTTTTCTGGGTTTAGCACTGAAAGCCCTCAACCTCCTTATTTCCAGACAAACCGGGATAGTTGGTGACCTACCCTTCCAGTTACTTAACTCTTTAACTTTCAATATGTTATTTCTCCATGCCTCAGTATCCTCATCTGAAAAATGGGTATAATAGCCGACTTGTTTTGTTTTATTGGATTAATTGTGTAACAGTGCCTAGCCCATAGTGCCATAAATGCCAGCTTTTATTATTCTGTAAGGTCATGTGTGGTACAGAAATTTCTGGAGTTGCTTCGTGAGAAAGAAAATCATTATTCTTGAAGATCTCAGGCCAAAACATGAGTCACCTTAAAAAATGCATTTCTTCACACCCATGTTTATTGCAGCTTTATTTACAATAGCAAAGAGTTGGAAGCAGCCTAGGGGCCCATCAACAAACGAATGGATAGAGAAGCTG